TTGCAAAGTCATTAATCCCTTTTCCATGAGAAAGTAAACTTTTGCCTCATCCGCGGAGGGTGCGAGAAAATTATGTGGACACAAGAAGTTTGAGCGACTTGAGCCACTCCTGGACTCCTTCCCGCAAAATGAAATGCCGGACTTCATTCAACCTACCATGTGGCCCCCCAACAGCCCTAATGTAAACCCTGTTGTCTACTTTGGGCTGTATTGCAAATAAAAGTGAACTCCTTTGAACACCCTCGTAGGTCCTAATGAATGATATCTTGGAAATCCTCGTGCGAGCTTTCAAGGAAACCATCAGAGTATCGCGAAGCATAACTAGAATCAGTTGTGCAAAGGAATACTTAGGACTTTATCCGCCAACTCATATTGTAAATGAAGACATCGCCAAGTCTAAAAGTCTCTAGTCAGGAGAAGTTCCATGAGTAATCAGAATAAATCCCGCCGGACCTTATATTAGTATAATCGCTTGTGCATGACCTAACAATATTCCTATATATTCCCTAACAAGATCATAATGAGGAATATATCCAACAAACTTTTCCATCTTGCAGGAGATTCTACATTCAAAACAATGCAGCAGTATTGGAGCTAACAGAAGGAACCTTCCAGAGACTTACATTCGAGTTTATACAAATTCATGGGAGTGCAGTTAAGAACATCCATCCATTAGCCCTAGTACCTTTACAAGGTCGCCTCGAGGTTTTCGTGATTTCTCACTGTCCCCTGGAGGATTTTCCCTTTTACAATCTTAGTGAATTCCACCGCTTGAAAGAACTGCATCTCTTCAATAATTTGTTGACCTCTGTCCCGGCCTTTATGAGCAAGAGCCTAGAAATACTCTTTCTTCACAACAATAAGATCATGAGTGTGGAGTTCGACAGATGGACGACTCCCAATTTGAAAGTACTCCAACTCCACAACAATTTGTTGACGTCTATCCCGGCCATCAGGAGCGACAGCCTGGAGTTACTGAGTCTTAATGACAATAAGATCACTAGTCTGGAGTTCGACGAATGGGCGACTCCCAATTTGAAACAACTCTTCCTCAGCAACATTTCGTTGACCTCTGTCCCGGCATTTAAGAGCGACAGCATAGAAAATCTCACCCTCTGTACCAATAAGTTCACGAGCGTGAAGTTCGAGGAATGGGCTACTCCCAGATACTTTCATGAGTTCGAGACGTTGTACAGCAACTGGGTACAGGGCCGAGAGTTCTCGCTGTCGTAGCTTTCAGAGCTGGAGCCAATGTTATTCTAGTGCTCACACCTCAAGCTGCCTACCCGCTGGGGCAGATTGAAACAACTCTTGGTCAATGACAATTTGTTGATCTCTGTCCCGGCCTTCAGAAGCGACACACTGGAAATACTCCGTCTTAACAACAACAACATCACGAGTGTGGAGTTCGATGGATGGGCGACTCCCAATTTGCGGGTATTCGACATTGGTGAGTTTTGTAATGTCTTCATAACCTTTGATGGTTCCTCGTGATTGGAATGCTCTATTTCCTGTGATTAACTCACCGCCGAGTTCTAGACAAATTAGGGATACAAGCGACATGTAGCAACCGCCTGTTTCCGAAGACCCCTGCGCGACGGGAGTCGCTTCAACATTTTTCTATTAAAAATATAATTATCCTGCCTTAATTGTGAATTTCTCAGGCCAAACGTCTGTCCACCTTTGAAGTTAACGAGATTTTCCGGTGTTACTCGGCACCTTGTTTTGTGTGAAACCGACTTTAATGGAAATGACGAAAGATGTTTCCGATCTGATGATGCAATAATAAAACTAAGCGAAGATTGGACCCATGGCATTAATTAGATGGAGGCGATGCCACCAGGATTTCTCGTCGTCGTCTTTTACTCGAGCAAGAATGGTTGGCGCCAATGATTGACGAGAACATGATGTTTTTAATTTACACAAACCGACTGGACGAGCACAAGAAAATTAATGTTGTATGTTAAATAAAAAGCCTCATCTGGCTTTAAGTGTTATAGTGAATGACCAATTGACACCGCTAGCAATTATTTTTCTAACATGTAAAAGGCAATCCAAAATGCAAAGTACACTCATGGGCTTATTTTTTATTTTTGCTTCAGTTACTAATTCAAAAGAGAATGGATAGAACTGAAAGAATACTATTAACATATTAGGTATTCTTTGCATCACCCCGTGTAAGCGAATTAGCAAAGTACAATGATGGGCTTATTTTTTATTTTTGCTTCAGTTACTAATTCAAAAGAGAATGGATAGAACTGAAAGAATACTATTAACATATTAGGTATTCTTTGCATCACCCCGTGTAAGCGAATTCGGTCTTGCATCTTTCAATCATCTCATTAATCTGATTTTTTGCATTCCATTCAGGTAACAATCCCCTGTTGAAGTTTCCATCCGGAATAGTCGATGGCATGACGAAACTGGAGGAGTTTTGGTGCCAAGGAGGCACCCTCGGTCCCACCCTTTCGAGCGGTTTCCTGGAATTCCATAGCAAGGCCTTGAAACTGGTCGTCCTCCAGAACAATGGCATATCCAGAGTGGAGCCAGGAGCCATCAAAGGTAAGAATTCCCATCAGATTCGATAACCGTTGGTCATAGAACCTACCGCATCATCAACGTCATGAAAGTTGGTGAAGAGAATAGGTCCAAGGGGGTTTCATGCGATGCTTCAAAGGCCGAATCGACCTTGCCGGCCGACCTTTCTTGCATCGACGTTCCTCAACAAAGCCGAATAAACTTCATATTCCATGTAAAATTTTTCAGGGAAAAGTGCGTCAGCGAGGGTGACAATAAATAAACTTACCTGTGCTTTGTCATCAAATGAACCGACGTTGCATGACTAAAGGAATTTCTTTTTCCCTAGCGTCGCTTTACTTCGAAGGCAGGTGGATAGGTCGGCGCGGCCCGATCGAGAGGCAACCCAGGTCGCCGGCGCTGAATCCACTCGACTTCTGGCTGTGGGTTTTCATTAAAGAGCGGGTACATCATGGCTGCGTGATCGTTGTTTCCCTCGACGTCGTCGGAAAATGTGCATGTTTAAAAATCAATAACTTTGCAATGAGACAAATCGAGGAGGAAATTTTTATACCACGCCGTAACCGATGCCTTCTAGTATCAACGTGGAAGAAACGAAGAAAATCAAAGATGGGGTTTTGGAGAAAAAAAAATTATATTTTCACCCATTTTTCGGAAAATGACAAAAGTTGTAAATTAATATAAAATTAAGCATTAATGATATAAATGCCAAATGACAAGAGATGCACGAATGTATGTAGTTCTTGAACATATAGTTGATTCAATTTGGGATACATATTCAACTGGCGAAAATTTTCAGCAAAACCAACAAATTCAGCAGTATATCAATTTTTTAAATTAAAAATTACGTATTCATAAAATTATAACTTAAGTTTTTCTATAAATTTTACACAAGACGTACATTCAAGTGAGCGAGAAATTATTTTCAGGAATCTATGCCCATTACTTTAGGAGATACAGCAAATTGAAAGTGGGGGAAACAGGAATTTCATGCGGCGCCCTTTTTAGAGCCATGCACTTGGGAATTTTTTTCTTCGAAAGTATTGCAGATACAGAGGTAAATAAGCTATTTTTCATCATTTGAATAGGGGGATCACTTTTTTTTCTAAACCCAAGACTATGACAAGACCTGACAGGCCCTGCCTGATTTGAAATGGCACCACCCAGGGTGGATTTTTGAACAGAGAACTATCCGATAATGCAGCTTTAATACAGGGAAAATGCATGATATTTCCTGGAAAAAAGCAGCATTATCGGATAATTCTCTGTTCAAAATGTCTCCTTTAATGTCCTTTTTTTCAACTTTCCATTGAAGTTAATTAGCGTACGCTCCTTCCAATACAAAACCGTTTGCAAATTAAAGACTTCCTTGCCGAGTTATAGCTAATTAAAAAAGTCGTTCAGTGACTTTGGACTCACCCTGTACAGTAACAATGTACTAATTCCCTATGTCCCGTTACTTCTGCCGGATACTGGGTAAGCCTTCATAGCTTAAGCTAGATCCCTCACCTCAGTAACATACTCTAACGAAGCCCAGGAGCCTCAAACTTTTTCGCATGGCGCTCTTAATTTGCATTCCAGGTCTCCGCCATGATACGAAGGTTCTTCTCGGCGAAAACAAAATAGATGTGTTGTCCGAAGGAAGCTTCCGCCCGATGTTGGCCATCCTCTCTATAGGAGATGGAGTCCTCGATCTGAGCGGTGAGTTTTACGGTTTCTCGTTCTTGCACAACCTGTCAAGTATCCTTCATGATTCCTTCGTCGATATGTTTCCACTCTTTCTTTTGCCTCTATTTCAGGCAATCCCATCCCGTGTGATTGTGAAATGTGGTGGCTCGTGCTCGCCCGGAAATTGCTACGGCACGTTTCTGGGAAGTGCCACAACGGAACGGAATTAAGGGACGTGGATTCGGGTTCCTTCGATTCCTGTCATCGCGAATGCCCGTACCAGTGCGTCAGCAAAGTACACTCATGGGCTTATTTTTTATTTTTGCTTCAGTTACTAATTCAAAAGAGAATGGATAGAACTGAAAGAATACTATTAACATATTAGGTATTCTTTGCATCACCCCGTGTAAGCGAATTTGGTCTTGCATCTTTCAATCATCTCACTAATCTGATTTTTTTCATTCCATTCAGGTAACAATCCCCTGTTGAAGTTTCCATCCGGAATAGTCGACGGCATGACGAAACTGGAGGAGTTTTGGTGCCAAGGAGGCACCCTCGGTCCCACCCTTTCGAGCGGTTTCCTGGAATTCCATAGCAAGGCCTTGAAACTGGTCGTCCTCCAGAACAACGGCATATCCAGAGTGGAGCCAGGAGCCATCAAAGGTAAGATATTTCCCATCAGATTCGATAACCGTGGGTCATAGAACCTACCGCATCATCAACGTCATGAAAGTTGGTGAAGAGAATAGGTCCAAGGGGGTTTCATGCGATGCTTCAAAGGCCGAATCGACCTTGCCGGCCGACCTTTCTTGCATCGACGTTCCTCAACAAAGCCGAAAAAACGTCATTTTCCATGCAAAATTTTTCAGGGAAAATGCGTCAGCGAGGGTGACGATCAATAAACTTACCTGTGTTTTGTCATCAAATAAGCCGACGTTGCATGACTAAAGGAATTTCTTTTTCCCTGCCCCGGGGAAGCAAATTCGACGCGTACGATAATCATTCATGATTTCTTATTTTGCCATTACTGCTGTCATCCTTAAGCAACAGGCTTCCAAAATCGTATGCATTCCAAAAACTCACTCCGATGCTCTGGATGCTGAAACTAACTTGATGTAAAAAGGAGAATCTTATAAGATCTGTACGGTTTTGCCACTATATTTAAATGATGCGAACGCTGAATGCATATGTTTACGGTGCATTGAAAGTCACCGGATTTTCTTAGAATGACGTGCGCCGGGGCTCCGATGGTTCAGTGTTTTTGGCCCTTCGGGAAAAATTAATAATTGCCACAAAATACTTCGGGGGTCCGGAAAGTAATGAGAAACGCTTGTAAATTTGTAACTCTACATGCAATGCACTTCCCACTGCTCGGGCAATTGGATCGATATGTAATCTCTGTCATGATTCCCCAACAGGTGGTTTGGATGTCACGGGCCATACGAATGGCCACCGAGGTCATCCGGACTTTAATCGGTTAGATATACTGTAGAGCACGGGGCCATCTGAAAACAATCTTGTATCGCACGCAATCGCTCTCACTTGCCGACCTTCGAGACTGAATCACAAATGGATGTAATGAAATCGGTACTGATACATGTACTAACGTTCGTGCGCGGGATTTAAAAATCGATTGAAATACTGCCTACAGCAAGGCGGTGGCCATTTTAAACACTTTTTGTTACTTTCCGGTCACTAAACAATAAATTCCTATTTTTATACCTGAGAGTTTGTTACGTTACGTAGCAACCATAGCACAGGGTGAGTCAGAAGTCATTGAACGACTTTAAACAGCTATAACTTGGTAAGGAACGAACTTTGGGAAAAGGAATTTGCGGTTTGTTACATATGAAAGAGCGGGCGTTCATCGACTAAAAGAAAAGTGGAAGTTTCCATGAAATACTAATAGGAAATTGGATAAGTCTCCACTGAACGAAAAGCAACATTCTTTTTTAACATAAAACAGATATTTAGGGTACAAGGAACCCGTGGTTACCTTTTTTGCAGCTCGAAATGGTTTTACGATAATGCCAAATGAACTTTCTTTGGAGGAGAACGTCGCCATCGTTAATTCGTTCTCAATCTGTGAAGGAAATTTTGTGAAGAGAAGCGTCGCTTTACTTCGAAGGCGGGTGGATAGGTCGGCGCGACCCGATCGAGAGGCGACCCAGGTCGCCGGCGCTGAATCCACTCGGCTTCTGGCTGTGGGTTTTCATTAAAGAGCGGGTACATCATGGTTGCGTGGTCGTTGTTTCCCTCGACGTCGTCGGAAAATGTGCATGTTTAAAAATCAATAACTTTGCAATGAGACAAATCGAGGAGGAAATTTTTATACCACGCCGTAACCGATGCCTTCTAGTATCAACGTGGAAAAAACGAAGAAAATCAAAGATGGGGTTTTGGAGAAGAAAATTATATTTTCACCCATTTTTCGGAAAATGACAAAAGTTGTAAATTAATATCAAATTAAGCATTAATGATGTAAATGCCAAATGACGAGAGATGCACGAACGTATGTAGTTCTTGAACATATAGTTGATTCAAATTCGGATACATATTCAACTGGCGAAAAAAATTCAGCAAAACCAACAAATTCAGCAGTTTTGTCTATTTTTTAAATTAAAAATTACGTATTCATAAAATTATAACTTACGTTTTTCTAGAAATTTTACACAAGACGTACATTCAAGTGAGCGAGAAATTATTTTCAGGAATCTATGCCCATTACTTTAGGAGATACAGCAAATTGAAAGTGGAGGAAAACAGGAATTTCATGAATCGACCTCTTTAGAGCCATGCTCTTGGGAATTTTTTTCTTCGAAAGTATTGCAGATACAGAGGTAAATAAGCTACTATTTTTCATCATTTGAATGGGGGGATCGCTTTCTTTTCTAAACCCAAGACTATGACAAGACCTGACAGGCCCTGCCTGATATGAAATGGAACCACCCAGGGTGGATTTTTGAACAGAGAACTATCCGATAATGCAGTTTTATTACAGGGAAAATGCATGATATTTCCTGGAAAAAAGCAGCATTATCAGATAGTTCTCTGTTCAAAATGTCTCCTTTAACGTCCTTTCTTTTCAACTTTCCATTGAGGTTAATTAGCGTACGCTCCTTCGATACAAAACCGTTTGCAAATTAAAGACTTCCTTGCCGAGTTATAGCTAATTTAAAAAGTCGTTCAGTGACTTTGGACTCACCCTGCACTAATTCCCACTACTAACAATGTACTAACAATGTACTAATTCCCTAGGTCCCGTTACTTCTGCCGGATACTGTGTTCTAAGCCTTCATAGCTTAAGCTAGATCCCCCACCTCAGTAACATGCTCTAAAGAAGCCCAGGAGCCTCAAGCTACGTTTTCGCATGGCGCTACTAATTTGCATTCCAGGTCTCCGACATGATACGAAGGTTCTTCTCGACGAAAACAAAATAGATGTGTTGTCCGAAGAAAGCTTCCGCCCGATGTTGGCCATCCTCTCTATAGGAGATGGAGTCCTCGATCTGAGCGGTCAGTTTTACGGTTTCTCGTTCTTGCACAACCTGTCAAGTATCCTTCGTGATTCTTTCGTCGGTATGTTTCCACTCTTTCTTTTGCCTCTATTTCAGGCAATCCCATCCCGTGTGATTGTGAAATGTCCACCGAGCACGAGCGGGCCTTTAACGATGCCGTGCAAAGACCCTTCACGGTGTTGCCTTGCCTTAATTCCCTGCACCTAAGCCCAAGGAAGCTAAGGACAGTAGCGCTTACGGGCATGGTCACGCAGAACGGCTCGTGGTCATCTCTCTGCGAGCCGGGGACTGTGACGCTTTCACACGTGGGCGATTGTCGATCCGGGGAACTGTGCTGCCAGCCAAACGTCCAAAATACTACTACGATGACATCGGCTCTAAATACATTCTTTGGTAGGTGGTTTTTAAAGTGAGGTCACATCTCCCAACAAAAACTGGGAAGGGGTCAAATGTCCAATAGTACTTTCGCCTAATGGAATCCAAGTATTCACGAGATAGGCATAAGCGAAAGCCAACATGATGCAATTAACCGACACAATCACAGAGCAGCAAAAAAAAAAGTTCTGACGTCTTCCAAATCATATTCTGTCATTCCTACATAGTAGACTTGGTCATGGCCGCAGTTCTGGTTTTTTCATCCGCTTATAGGCAGTGCAACCGGATGTGGACAATTAAGCAGACCAAGGCATGGTTCTATTACGATTGAATCGTGTCCGACCGCATCAAAAAATATTGATGAAGGAATCGATGGAAAATGCCTTCAAGATGGGAAATATGAATTCGGGAGTGTTGTTAGATACGTGTGCAATAAATATTACATTCTAAGGGGATCCAGCATCCGCAGATGCGCCGAGGATGGAAAATGGACGGGAAACAGACCGTTTTGTGAGCCAGGTCCGTTTTTTTCAACGATTTTCCTGTTTATCTGATGCGTATCTGTAATTTGCGAATATGAATTTTTTATAATTTCCTTTTGTTCCTAGTGTGCGGGAGGAAGAATTACCGAACGACATCGTCTAACGGAGGAAAGCCATCAGAGATAGAAGAATGGCCATGGCAGGCAGCCATTTATGACGTTAAAGCACAAGATTTCGTCTGTGGAGGGGCCCTCATCCAAGAACAATGGGTGCTCACAGCGGCCCATTGTGTCCGCCCCGGCATTCCATTTCTGTCAGATCCCAAAACAGACTTCGTGGTTCACCTTGGGAAACACCATCGAGCTGATACCGAAGACGATGAATACGTGCAGATCAGACAGGTTCGGTAGGCTAGAAAATCTCGATATTTCATCTATTCGTTTCCTAATGATAGAAAGTGCCACAATTTCTTTATAGGTGTCTCACATATTCCAACACAAGGACTACAGCAAAGAAAACTACGACTCAGATATTGCTCTACTGAAATTAGCAAAGCCTTCCGTGCTGACTGAGCGAGTGCAGTTGATATGTCTCCCGACCAAATATGATGTTTCTGACGAAAATCTCCAGGATGGAATGCTAGGATGGGTAAAGTGTGAAATGCCTCTTCATCTGTAAATACAATTTCCTCCGCAGGGACGTCGTTAAATGTTTCCTTGTTTTACCGTACTTTGCTCCAGGTTGCCGGTTGGGGCAATGACGGTTCGGATCTTCAAACGGCTGTCCTGACAGAGGTTCAGCTCCCGGTGATATCTAATCGCTTGTGTCGTCGAGACACCACAAACTTCACTGGGGATTTCACCGCCACTCGTACCCTCACCTCTAACATGTTCTGCGCTGGACACTCTACAAACACATCTCTTGAAGGTATGTATCATATCCAGAGTAGTGTGTGTGCACATGTTCTAACCTTGTTCAGACACGTTCTGAGGCAACATAATGAATCGTGCCTCATGGGCTTCCATTAAGTACAATTTAAAAAATAATTCTAATCATTAAGGCGGAAGGAAAAAAACCCGATGAATAATGAATTCGCACCTACAGGTGAATTCAGATGTTATAGGCTTCACCCTACAGGATAACAAAGCAATCTCATTTCGAACTGAACTGGTAAGAATAAAGTATTTCGCTAGACCAAATCCTAGAAGGAAAGTGTATTGGTCTATGGCGCAGCAGTGTGGAAGTACGACAGAAGTATATTCTTAATACAATGGTCGACCTCAATAAGGAAATGTAAAAAAAAATCCAACAGTCGTACTGCAAATTTTCCGGCGCCTAGAATGAGTTCATGTCAGCAAAACATGGATTCTGTACCGACGAATGCGGAATCATCGAGAAAGATGCAGGAAATCCAAGTCCAAATGTACAAATTGCCAAGCATCTTTATGCCGGGCATCTTTTGTAATTTGGCGCAACAACAAGGCCTAAAATGAATCATTTGGTTATGAAAGCTAATACTGCATATCTAGCCATAATTCTAGCTCTCTTCGCTTCTGAAAAAAAGGAAGACTTCAATTCGACTCAATTCGGCTCAAAAGTAGCGTCTGCATGGCATGACAATGCCTTCGTTTGAGGACATGCTTCAATTTCGTAGACAATCGACCACTTCCTGAAAATGAGAGTGCTATCAGTGTGTTAAACCTTTATTTTAAAAATAGTGAACTGTTGAACTCAAACTTTTATCTCACGATGAAAGCAAAACCATGCAACATGAATTAAGTGGCCAAGGAAGAGGTTGATGGAAACCTTAGCTCTTTTGATGCAATTATGCAGTAATTATGCCGCCAAATCCATTGATATTGATTTTTCTTAACCGACGAGGGCTGCTCATGAAATCATATGAAAAAAAGAGGTAAGCCTAAAAGAGGAATCTTTTGAAGTTCACTGATTTCGGTTTATTTTGTATACAAATTAAGTTTCCACGGATACATCCCTATCACATTACATTCGTGATGGATGAACGGGATATCAAAAATGACGATGAGCGGTTCCATACAGATTATCGAACGGTGTGTCCTGGGGACTCGGGAAGTCCTATGGTCTTCCTATCCAATGCCTCCCATGACAGTTACTGGACGGTGGAAGGAATCGTGAGTCACTTTTTCCAGAAAGAGACTTGTAATCTTAGACGCCCTGGACAGTATGGAGTTTTCACCAGAGTTAATAGGTGAGAACTGCTCAAACCCATTCAATTCTGCTCCTCTTTTCCGTTCTTTTGAAACACGATGGTCACCGGAAACTTTTCTCGTTCTCCCCTCTCTAGGTTCACCCGATGGATCAACGAGGTTTTACCAGACTTCTGATGAGTGAGACACGACATGACTGAAAGCAGTCACGCCCGTGAGAAACCGATGTCTGTATGTTTTCACTTGTATGCAATGTAATCCAAGGGTTTTCATAAAATGCGAGGCTTCCGTTTGGATGGAATTGAACCCAATTCAACACGCAAGCCTTATGTTTTGACTCAGCCGCAGTCGAGACCATGTTCGGAATCGAAGGCATCTGACACCGGACGAGAATCATTACCGAGTCCTTTCACTTTTCTGTCGCCAGAGAACATTCGGCAGCCGTCGTTGAACACTGCCTGCGACGACCGAGACGTGACACACAAGGCAATTTGCATTTCCTTTAGATCCAAGTGAGGAAAAAAAATCATTGGAGTAGTTGGACGAAAGCTAAATCGGGCGCAAGCATCTGAACGAGCGAATGCATGCATGCCTTACTAGGAGCGGGGTCGAGCCCATGACATGTCTTTTGTCCCCTGATGGTCATGGTGTTGCGGCGAGGGAGTGGCATCGACTGGGAGGCGACGATCTTGATAGCAGGGAAACGTGGCTTTTCTTTTATTCCTTTCTTTCGCGTCTTGCCTCTTCGACCGGCTTTGGGTCAAGGACGACGACCGAGGGAGAATAGTGGCCATAGCGCTCTCTACGAGGCGTCTTCTCTATACGGCACTCGTCCCTCGACGCGAAGGTGCTGGGGAATCCTCATCCCCCACCGCACTTGACCGCCTCGTGGGCGGCGAATCGGAAACGTAACGTGTTTCTGGCTCGTGCGTATGCTAAGAGCTGCGTGCATTTTCATAGCCAGAGGACATCGGACGATATACTCTCGACTTCTAGTGTATTCTCGCTAATCCGAACTCGATGGAACCGATGCTTCTCCCCTGTTAAACAAAAACAAAAGATAGGCCCCTCGCTCGTCTTTTTGGAGGAAAGTGACCCGGGATACTGTAGTACGCCTCACTTTTCATTTTTCAGTCGCACTCGGGGCCCATTCAATCACTCGCGTCGAAAAAGTTTTCATTCACTTGGGAACTATCTTTCCTCAGAAGGATAACTGTTTCAGGCGAAGGGCCAAGCATGGACACGGTCCAGCATTTTTCTTTTCTTACAGATGCGCATCGGAAAGGGATCAAAATTTCAATAGTTTTCATACTCCATCGTCCAAACTTGAGCATCCAAACGAACCTCTTTTTTTTTCGTTCTGCTAGGGCTATTTACGAAGGACTTTCCAAGTTCGTACGAACGCTCTAAGACGGTCGGCTCCGCGAGAAGTTGGCTCTTTAAAAATCCACTGACTTCCCTTTATTTCCACCATTTCATCCAGAATGTATCCCTCGATTGCAACCACCGATTTCGCGAGAGAAGACACGCTTCGCATCACCTCCTTTATGACAATTTTCACTTCCACGAGGAATCCTCCTCGCTTCACAGGGTCAAAATAAAAAAGAACAGCGAACTACACGAGATTAAGCACAAAAGGGTCTCAACTTTCTTTCTTCTCGTTTTCCATCCACCATATATCACATTGGAGTGGGCTCAATGCGGCGGCTGCTGCTGTTGTGGCTGCGGTTGCTGCTGCTGCTGCTGCTGGGTCTTGCGTCCCCTCGCAGCGTAGCTGGCCGCGGTCGGGGGGGCCGGCGTCCCCACTCCCACGGCCGGCCCCCCCGGGCCGCCCACCCCGGCGCCCCCCGCTGCCGCCGCCGCCGCGGCCGCTGCCGCCTTCTGCTGCTTTGCTTCCAGTTGCTGCTGCTGCCACTGCTGCTTGATCTGCTGAACTTTCTGCTCCACTTGCTGAGCGATCTCGTCGTCATCCTGCTTGCTCTGCTAAAAGACCCACAAAAAACCACAATCTGTGAATCACAATCACATATTATTCCCAGTCAAAAAAAAATTTTAGAGACTGACGTGGCCGGCCTTCGCATGTCGCCCCGTCGTAGAATACACCTGCACGTCCCCGCCACCCCCCGCACCCAAGGGCGGACTCTGCCCCGAGATGAGACTCGCCAGCAGGCCCTGCTTCTGCACCACCGGCCCTCGCGACACGCTCGACGCCGGGGTCGTCCGCACGGCCACAGAGATCGTCTGACCGTGAACGCCGGTCGGCAGCTGCGGGCAAACGAAAGGTAACGGTACGAGATTTATCAAGAGTAAACGGTAAAGCAAGCGATGACAACAAAGAAAAAACCGATACAACCGCATATGGCAATGACAGAAGATCCCCCCTTTTTTTTAAACCAGACTTCCACTCTTTTTCCATCAAACTTGTTTAAATCTGCTTTGAATTTACCTAGCCGTTACATCCCCTTTTCCCGACAAAAACGCGACTCACCTGCGTGACCGTCGTCCCGGCCACCGACGACCCCACCTTGAGCGTCGCCGAGGACGGCAGCGACACGATGGACCTCCCCGTCCCGTCCAGCGCCACCGCCGCCCCCCCTTGCGCCCCCGCGACCCTTCCACCCGGCGTCGCCGACGACGCCAGCGCCTGCACCACCTGGATCTGCTTCATCTGCTGCCCCGACACCGGGATGACCCTCGTCTGGATGGTCGGCGATCCCCCCTGCGGGTTCAGCCCCGAGGACACCGTCAGCCCCGCCCGGCCCTGCCCCCCCGCGCCGGCCAACATCGTCGGTGCCAGCGACACCGCCGCCGTCGCCGTGCCTAGGGTACCGAGGATCGCCTGCGCTCCGCCGCTTCCCGCCTGAGATACAAAAAACAAAAGTCTCAGAAGGACTCGCTCTGTCACCATAAACCATCGCATCATCAGGAACGGATGCAAAGGCTACAGGAGTGCGTACGATAGGTAAGGTTTTCTCTTCATCGAAGAATATTCCCCAGGCACTGGCATCAAAAGTCATGAGACCACTAAAAACCGCCACAGAAACTAAATAGGACAATCGAGACGGAGACCTGAGTGAGCTGCTGAAACGCCTGTGGCTGAATCTGCTTGAGGACCTGATTCAACTGCTGTACGGTGACGGCCGCGGACAGCGTCTTCTGTCCGCCCCCGCCCGGCTGCACGATCTGCACCGTGTTCATCGGAGCCGTCTGGATCGTGGCGCCGCCGCCGCCACCGACCGCACCGCCGACTCCCCCGCCGACCTTCCCCTGCAGTCCGGCCGCCTTCCTCTGTGCTGCCAGCAGCTGTTGAGGGATCGTGATCTGACGGATCTGGGGGACCGTCCCTGCCTTGGTCATCGTCTTCACCTACAGAACATCGCAAGCGGTCCACGATCGTTGCCGTGTGCTCATCGCGTTCGATGCGATCGGTAAACGACACTCGAATATCATTCAACACGACATTTTGTACCTGAGGGAGATTAACCCCAGCGACGGAGATGGCCGAGACGGGAATGGTGACCGTCTGAGAACCCGAAATGGAAGTGCCCTGTTTGACGATGGTGGCCACTCCGGCCCCGGCGCCTCCTCCGGTTCCGACCCCAGAGGTCCCTTGCACGCCGGTCAGAGTCCCACCTCCTCCTTGCACCTGAGGAAATGTAATACACACGACGGTATGGAACGCACCCTGCACGCATTTAAAGACGGAAGAAAACGACAATAGGTACCTGGGCGAGGAGTTGGGCAGGAGTGATGGTACCAGGTGGGAGGGCGCCCTGATTCACCTGAATGGTGGCTCCAGTGGCGCCTCCGGCAGCGACGTTCCCGGCGAGGGCGGCCTGTCGCTTTAGTAGGACCAGCATCTCCTCCGGGAGCGTGCGGGTCATGATGCTCCCCTTTCCTGCCGTCGTCCCGGTGATGATTCCTCCGGTCTGATGGAATCAAAGCGGTCGAATGAAACCTTCCGTGCCACCGACTCTCCAAAAATCATTTTCGGAGAACCGTTAGGATTCCGATCGACGGATGCAAAACGTGCCAGACGCCAACCTGAGCGCGCGAGACGACCTGCGTGACCTGGATGTTGGCCGGAGACACCGTGGCCAGGGATACCTTCTGGGTTCCTGCTTGACCCCTCTTGGCTTGTTGTTGCTGCTGCTGCTGCTGTTGCTGACGCAGGAGCGCCTGTTGCCGCAGCATCTGCATCTGGGCCGGAGTGAGCTTCCCTCCTCCCATCGTCACCCCTGAACGGAAACGACGATACGGTAAGAAGTTAGAACGGGATAAAAACTCTTTGCTTGCTTTAATTTGCCGCATTAGCCTTATTGCTTAACATTATGTGTGGCGCATTCGGCAGATATTTAATGAAAAAACTAAACAAGGCAGTATTGCACTTGAAGATTCATCAATTACCTCACACAAGTAGTGATACTAAACTCCCTCTTACCTTTTGGAGAGGTGGTAGTGGCCCGGGAAGAGACCTGGAGCTGGGCCGTGTTGAGACTGGACAGCGACACCACCGTTCCTGCTCGTCCACCACCCACATCCTGCACCCATGAGAGCATCCATGGCAATCACAACAAACTGCCATCGAGGATCGTGGAACCTCACGAAGCGGACAAAGCGGGAGACCCACCTGGATCATGATGGTCTGTCCCTCGGGTTGCCCCCTCTGCGCCCGGAGGGCTTGGGAGAGTGCAGACGACGGGGATGCGCTCAGCTGCTGTTGAAGGACCGACTGATTCCCCTGAACCGCAGTCATGATCCCTCCTTGCCCTCGGGCCACCGAAACCGTGGTGGTGACCCGGGCTTGCTGAGGCTGTTGCTGAAGGAGCTGCTGATGTTGTTGTTGAGGTTGTTGCTGTTGCTGCTGCTGCTGTAGCTTCTGCTGCAACAGCAGCTGCTCCTGAAACGAAACGATCGCGAGTCTTTCGTCACGAAAAGACAAAGGCATGAATGAAACAAAGATACAACTAAAGGAGATGGCTCTCACATTCTTCTGCTTTTCCTTCGCGATGCGTTCGGCCCTGGATGCGGCGACCTGCGTCGGCTGCATGGGGGAATCGTACTCGATCCCCATCTCCTCCATGACGGCCAAGACGGAGCCTGTCCGATTCGCGCCTCGGGCACCCGAACCAGGGAACGCCAAGGGCTTGATGGTGGGGCGGCGCTGAGTCACGACGTTGTTGATCTCCAGAAATCGCTTGTGGAGGAAGTTGGTGAACGTGGTGTTGTTGTCGTTGCTGTAGATCTGGGACGTTTTCAACGGTCGGTTGGCCTTGATGGGCTGGGGAGAAAAGAGTGACATACTGCTGCATACTACCCCACAGCACACATACACAGTATTAACTGTGATATAAAATTAAAATCCATCATCTCCACCGTCCACATGCGACATATGCTGAAGAAGGGAGAAGGGAAATGAAGCCCACTTCACACAAGCAATCCCTGCGTGACATCATTCACAAACCCCACATGAGAAAATTACTGATGCCTGACTGAAGATGCCTCCACATGATTCACTTGAGGGGAAGAAATGCACCATGTTGTCCTCATGTCAGAGTATGATGGTACTTGCAGGTGGCAACAGGGTGGGAAACAGTTGGCAACATAGCTACAGTCGACCCTCAGTATAACGAACACTGATATAACGAAAAATCGGTTATACCGAAATCCTTGACGTTGCCCGGCCGAATGTCCATAGACTAATTTTGTAGTATGGGTATACTAAAAAATTCGGATATGGAGAAATTCCCGATGTAACGAAAGAATTTCTGTGTCCTCAGATAGACACAAGGCAGGATATAATGAGCTTTCCCCCGTCCAGAAGGAATTTTTATTTTCCCACTTGACGGAAGTGCAGAAGGGTCAGCCTTCCACCTCGGTCTTCATCTGCACGGCATACGAGAACCAAGGATTCGACACGCGCAGAATGCGCGATAGGGAGAATGTGAATGTGGGTGAATGTGCGAGTGACGGGGGATGTGAAGATGGAAGATGCAAGTGAACGAAGCACACGAGTGCTCGCGCTCGGCAGCTCTTCGTCGGGATCCTTGGTTTCGTCGATCCCGTAAGAGTTTCATTTTACAAGGCTTCGGGAGGTCCATGCCCTTTACACGGTAGAAGCTTTCACACGTTTAACCCTCTCGCTGGGTAATTCATTTTGGCACGAAACCAATGGCAACGTTCCAGGAAGCAACTGAAGTCGCTTTTCGCAGCGTAAGGGTCAAGACGTCAGCTGCCAACGCAATTTCCGACGCTAAAACCACTATGCCTCGTGACTCACCAGCGGATATGTGGCAGCGAAGGCGGTAAATTACTGTCGTTCATGAAACCCTCAAAAGCCGTAGGTCCCCCAAAGTCCACCCACGGGACAATAATATATGCACAGGCATAACGAGGTTCAGTTCTCTAGAGATATACGACTCCATCCTGACAACGAAAACCCGATATAACGAAATAATTCGGGCAGCTTCAATCGACTTCGTTATAACGAGAGTCGACTGTACTAGACATAGGTACCATAAGCTGACAAAAGGAGTGGAAATCAAGCATTGTCTGATCTCCAGCAATGATGCTCCAGCCTCCTCTCACAGGCACAATTGCTGAAAACCAGGTTGCAACACTGTATTGATGCTATCACAAAGTTGCCTTTGAGAGCAGGCCTCGTGGTCTTTTACATTTGTTGGCATGTCTAAGAGACAATTAAGGCCGCAGAGTTCATGTAAGTCATCAAATTATGCCAGGTTTCACCACAAAGGAACAGCAACTGTTCCGACCTCATACCGTGCCACAAGGAAAAAATAAAACAGGGAGTAACAGACTGCAGTCAAAACGAGACAAAGCAGCAGTCCTACCTGATTGACTTTGAGCATGCCCTTCCCCTTCTTAGGAGCACCCTGCTTCCCCATGCCAAAAACGCCCGTGGAGGGGCTGAGAATGCTCCCGCCAGACGTCAGGATGTCGTAGGTCACCTTCCCCTCCTCTCGGGGAAGGATGGTCTTCTCGTACCGCGCCTTGCAGTACTTGGGAGACCGATACGTTCGTGCGACCGAGGAGTTCACCATCTCGGCCACCAAGTCCCAGTTCGGCAGGTACGCTTGGGCGGTTCCGACCCTTAGAGTTTGGATAGCCTGTATATGAGAAAAAAAGATTCCATTAGTTCTTGCTTTGCACGAGTGAACTTTTTTTTCACGATACATTGGCACGGATCATTGCACAAAATGACATTCAAAGAATACAAACTCGAAGATAAATATTTAGGTTAATTTTTACAATCTATGGCTTTGATATATGCTACCATTTAATAGAAGAAACTTTGCTACTGAATATGTCTCGAGGAGAACATTCATATTTGAGCCCCATTAAAGGTTGTTAACCCACCCAACTTCAATGATACATACCTAAAAAGTGGCAGAGTGAATGCTCCTTGATGCTACAAATGAAAGCAGCATGGACTCAGACAAACCTGAAGGATGACCCAGTCTTCATGTATCATCCATTCAGGAACGACGTCCGTGTCCAAGCCGATCGGCTTCCCCACGGTGCACAGAATGGGGCCCGACGTGCCGGCACGTGGCGTATACGTGTGAAACTTTGGCACTTTCGGTCGATCGAACAAGGATCGAGGTGCAAGGAACGACGTGGATTCCTCTTTGAGGGATGGGATCGGTGGAGCACAACGCTGCATCGCCTTGCTCGACCTCACTTGAGGGGGCAGCGGCGAGGGCGCCGACGAGACGGGAGACGGAGTGGACGAGAGACGAGCCTTCTTCGGCGGAGGAGGACCCTCCCGCTCCCTGGACTCCACGTACACACGTGGAAGCTGGGATTCGGGCATCACAGTCGATACATCATACAGAAGACCCAGGCAACGGTCAATGTAGACGTCGTTCTCATCATCAGGTGGAGGTGTCGGCGGTCCCCATATCTGCAAACGGTCGACAGAACATCAACCAACACACGTCGACAGGGGCAGACAAGAAAACAGATCGTGGGTGCTCACCGGCATCATTTCCTGGCACACGTTGGAGATCCACACCTAGCGAATGACCAACAAAATAAATTGCATGTGTACTAGGTACAAGCATTGGATTTGAGGAGGAAAATCTACAAAATATGAACTGCCATATCATGAGGGCAATTTTCTCCTTTCTTTAGTCAAGAAGCACCTCCAACGAAAGTTGTTATCGGTTTTAACTGAAGACATCCGAACGTGAAAACAATGGATGGTTACTCCACCGTTTTTTAACTTTGTATCGAACTGTACGTACTGTCTTTCTTAACCGTTACTCCTGAAAGTTGCGAAGATCAGAGAAGTGCCAGAAACAGCATGTTTCATTCTCAAGGATCCTGTGGACAAAAAATGCAAAATGTTTGGTTGATCTTTTAATTTCTTACCAGTTCTACCAATGACTTCCTGAATGTTGGTTTAATTTATAACTTGTGAATGAATTTCGTTTTAAATCCTGGTGTTTCCCCTGTTTCTGCTGAAACAAGAATGGTGCTAACTGATATTATTTCTGTACATTTAGCTCGAAACGTTTTTGTTTTCAACTTCACTTCAAGAAAGATTATTTAACTTCGGAAAGATTTTTGAAGATGACCATGATTCATCAAGAAAAATATCAGCACAACAAGACAAATCTTACAATCATGAAAGATTGTGGCAAATAGAAATAGAGATATTTTGAGGATCCAAATGTATGCTGAATGGCCCAGAGAAACAATCCTAAGTTTACATGCCTAGACATAAGTGCATGTGAGGCACTGGCTGAAAATTTTAGATGCCATGTCCAAAATTTGCTATTAATTTCATCAAAATTTTTATGATTCATGTCTTCAAAATCCTTTGCAACTATTCCCTATGGTTTTGTCAGATAGACATGCTTGCTCCTTTGACCAAGCTAATCACTGTAGTTGTGAAATTCTGTTCACTTTTTGCAAATACCTTGCATGTTCAGTCTCTAGCTGTGCAAACTTAAGAACTTGCTCAGAGCCAGCTGGTGTTGCCTCAAATTTCAAAGTATGTAGAAATGTCCCTGTAATTAGAAGTTATATCCTTTTCTGTCCAATGTCAAAGGAGTGTGTTCAGCTGGACTGGCACAGGGAAAGTTTCAACATGCACAGAGAAAGCTGCCATGAATTACATACTGATGAAATCATTTTCACATCACATGAAAAAAAACTCAGTTTCTCATCAAACCTCAATGAAAGTTTCATGAAATGGCCATGTTGGACATTTCGATCAATTAAATTTCCTGTTAATACTTCACAAAATTCTGTCTGCCAGCATATCAAGTTGGGAACACTTTCTTGAGTCACCAAATAAAGTAAACCCCAGTATGGATGCTGTTTCAGCAACGAGATTGAAGGGAAAAAACTGTTTGTCCACATTCCAAAGAAATAAATTCCATTCTGAATCTCCCCAGTCCTTGAAACACTCAAACTCTCCCACAAATGAACACCCTCCCAACATAATCCCCTTTCCTTTTCCTCTTCAATTCTATCCATGCCTCACTGCCTGGTGCAAAAGTCTACCTGATGAATAGTACATGAAACCAGTAGAAAACCTGCATCAAGATCAATCTAATGCCTCAGTTTGACTGCCAGAGATTGCATCAATACTTTTGCAAAAATTTAAATCTACAACTCCATTACCCCTTTTCAGTTTCTATTCCCATCTTGTCTCCCTTTAACCCTTTGCAGTCCACTATCAGTCCCACAATCCCTATAGCTTTACAAATAAAATGGTCCACAAAAGGTTAACATAGCATATAGACCTCTTTTGCTTTAGCTTATTCCATGTCGTGGTGTAGTGTCAGCTGGAGCAGTGGGAATTGATCCAAGAAAGGCAGTGACCATGACAACATGAAAAAAGCTTCTTATGAAGTAAATCATGTCAGCCATGGATGAGTTCCCAGTGGCCACACCAGTCCAGATGACCATTGTGTCTATGTCTTGGTAGTTTCCACCATTCTTTCTTTCTCAACCTTGGTCTGGCAAGACTAGTACACTCTGATTTTGAAGAGGCAATTGGGACATTTTCACTATTTAGCTGTTCCCCCAAGTGCGTGTCCAAGTGTGTTGCAAGACAGCAAGGGGAACTTGCCAACCAATGAAAAAAAGGGGAGGGAGGAGTGGAAAGCTACCAGAGACAGAAACACAGGGACACTGATAAATGTGGGGGATGGAAACGTACCAAGAAATAAACACAACAGACACACCCATGTCCCAAATTGGGGAATCCTGTATTTCTTCAAAAATCATACAAGCTGGCTCACTTCCATCTCTATCACATAAATGACCGTCAGAGCCAGTGACGATATCACAAATGGCAAATTCAACAAAATCAATTAAAAGAAGTAGGGTTAAATTTCATGAAGCTCAGCTTTGGAGAGAGCCCGACGGGACAGGCGACGTTGAGGTGGGACCGGTGTGGATGCTACAGGACTTGAGGAATCTGAATCCTCATTTTTCCGGCTCCATGGAACCGGCTTCACACCTGGCAAGATGGGATCCACATCGAGGGTCCACAGATTAATGCTAACCTGACCCCGGGATCTGGTGCGGGGACTGTCCTCGGTGACCTGATTCAAAGCAGAGGCCCTGCCTCTTCTGCCTAAGAAAGTCATTGGTTTCACCTCCTCTGATTCCCCCAAACCAGACTCAGATGACTCTACATCATCCTCGCTTTCGCTTTCACTACTTTCGCTATCAGTGTTATTCTTAGGAGAAGGAGGGGGAGGATTTCTGGTTTGGCCTGGTTTCCGACTGCNAGGAAAATCTACAAAATATGAACTGCCATTATATCATGAGGGCAATTTTCTCCTTTCTTTAGTCAAGAAGCACCTCCAAGCTTTCAACAATAGCCAAAATTGACTTCTGTAGGCTTGCACTTTTGTTACCTACCAATGAGGTGGCAAAAAATTGAAACATAGCTTGACATGCATGACAGAAAGAATTGGCAATGAGGACTTTCAACTGAAGGAGATCAGAGAAGTGCCAGAAACAGCATGTTTCATTCTCAAGGATCCTGTGGACAAAAAATGCAAAATGCTTGGTTGATCTTGTAATTTCTTACTAGTTCTACCAATGACTTCCTGAATGTTGGTTTAATTTATAACTTGTGAATGAATTTTGGTTTTAAATTCTGGTGTTTCCCCTGTTTCTGTTGAAACAAGAATGGTGCTAACTGATATTATTTCTGTTCATTTAGCTCGAAACTTTTTTGTTTTCAACTTCACTTTGAAAAAGATTATTTAACTTCTGAAAGATTTTTGAAGATGACCATGATTCATCAAGAAAAATATCAGCACAACAAGACAAATCTTACAATCATGAATCATGATTGTGGCAAATACAAATAGTGATATTTGAGGATTCAAATGTATGCTGAATGGCCCAGAGAAGCAATCCTAAGTTTACATGCCTAGACATAAGTGCATGTGAGGCACTGGCTGAAAATTTTAGATGCCATGTCCAAAATTTGCAATTAATTTCATCAAAATTTTTATGATTCATGTCTTCAAAATCCTTTGTAACTATTCCCTATGGTTTTGTCAGATAGACATGCTTGCTCCTTTGACCAATCTAATCACTGTAGGTGTGAAATTCTGTTCACTTTTTGCAAATACCTTGCATGTTCAGTCTCTAGCTGTGCAAACTTAAGAACTTGCTCAGAGCCAGCTGGTGTTGCCTCAAATTTCAAAGTATGAAGAAATGTCCCTGTAATTAGATCAGAAGTTATATCCTTTTCTGTCCAATGTCAAAGGAGTGTTCAGCTGGACTGGCACAGGGAAAGTTTCAACATGCACAGAGAAAGCTGCCATGAATTACATACTGATGATCTCATCATTTTCACATCACATGAAAAAAAGCTCAGTTTCTCATCAAACCTCAATGAAAGTTTCATGAAATGGCCATGTTGGACATTTCAATCAATTAAATTTCCTGTTAATACTTCACAAAGTTCTGTCTGCCAGCATAACAAGTTGGGAACACTTTCTTCAGTCACCAAATAAAGTAAACCCCAGTATGGATGCTGTTTCAGCAACAAGATTGAAGGGAAAAAACTGCTTGTCCACATTCCAAAGAAATAAATTCCATTCTGAATCTCCCCAGTCCTTGAAACACTCAAACTCTCCCACACATGAACACCCTCCCAACATAATCCCTTTTCCTTTTCCTCTTCAATTCTATCCATGCCTCACTGCCTGGTGCAAAAGTCTACCCGATGAATAGTACATGAAACCAGTGGAAAACCTGCATCAAGATCAATCTAATGCCTCAGCTTGACTGCCAGAGATTGCATCAATATATTTTCCAAAATTTAAATCTACAACTCCATTACCCCTTTTCAGTTTCTATTCCCATCTCGTCTCCCTTTAACCCTTTGCAGTCCACTATCAGTCCCACAATCCCTATAGCTTTACAAATAAAATGGTCCACAAAAGGTTAACATAACATATAGACCTCTTTTGCTTTAGCTTATTCCATGTCGTGGTGTTGTGTCAGCTGGAGCAGTGGGAATTGATCCAAGAAAGGCAGTGACCATGACAACATGAAAAAAGCTTCTTATGAAGTAAATCATGTCAGCCATGGATGAGTTCCCAGTGGCCACACCAGTCCAGATGACCATTGTGTCTATGTCTTGGTAGTTTCCACCATTCTTTCTTTCTCAACCTTGGTCTGGCAAGACTAGTACACTCTGATTTTGAAGAGGCAATTGGGACATTTTCACTATTTAGCTGTTCCCCCAAGTGCGTGTCCAAGTGTGTTGCAAGACAGCAGGGGGAACTTGCCAACCAATGAAAAAAAGGGGAGGGAGGAGTGGAAAGCTACCAGAGACAGAAACACAGGGACACTGATAAATGTGGGGGATGGAAACGTACCAAGAAATAAACACAACAGACACACCCATGTCCCAAATTGGGGAATCCTGTATTTCTTCAAAAATCATACAAGCTGGCTCACTTCCATCTCTATCACATAAATGACCGTCAGAGCCAGTGACGATATCACAAATGGCAAATTCAACAAAATCAATTAAAAGAAGTAGGGTTAAATTTCATGAAGCTCAGCTTTGGAGAGAGCCCGACGGGACAGGCGACGTTGAGGTGGGACCGGTGTGGATGCTACAGGACTTGAGGAATCTGAATCCTCATTTTTCCGGCTCCATGGAACCGGCTTCACACCTGGCAAGATGGGATCCACATCGAGGGTCCACAGATTAATGCTAACCTGACCCCGGGATCTGGTGCGGGGACTGTCCTCGGTGACCTGATTCAAAGCAGAGGCCCTGCCTCTTCTGCCTAAGAAAGTCATTGGTTTCACCTCCTCTGATTCCCCCAAACCAGACTCAGATGACTCTACATCATCCTCGCTTTCGCTTTCACTACTTTCGCTATCAGTGTTATTCTTAGGAGAAGGAGGGGGAGGATTTCTGGTTTGGCCTGGTTTCCGACTGCGCACCTTATTCTCTGCATCAGTCCTGGAATACGTGAGAAGCTCATTGTCATCATCATTCCACTTCTCCTCTTCTTCACGCATGGCCTGGAGATGCTTCAGGGCCCATTCTTTCTTCTGCTGAGCAATCTCAGCTTCCGCTTGCGCCAGCTGCTCTGCCTGCCATGCTCCATGCTCTTCCTCAACCAGGCTCATGGCATATCGCTCAACTGGCCTCAACTGTGGTCAGATCATACACATCTTCAGTAGGAAAAAGAACCACCATAACATCCAGGAAATTATTTTGAACAAAACTAAACCTTACCTGCTTGAGCATCTCATGCAATTCCATCTCTTGCTTAGTGAGTGGCACATCTGCAGAACCTTCTTCAAGTGGGATATTCTCATCAAACTCAGCCAGATCTGCCTCAGCTTCAGCATGGACAGCTGTAGCTGCCTGCACATCCTCTTCCTCTTCAGCAGCTGCCAGTGCAGATTCAAAGGCCACTGCCACTTCTTTCTCTTTCTCTTCCCCTTTATCAATGAGTTCTGACATTCTCCTGCTAGCATCTTCCTCCAATGAAACACTGAACAGGTCCTTGATGGTTTGCTGCAAAGAAAATAATTTCATTTCAGAAATAATTTACCTGAAAAATATTCTAAAGAATTCACAAAAAGTAACCTTTTTGAAATAGGCAGTGTTGAAGTTGCCCCCTTCGATGGCAAGGTCACCAAGCATGCGCTTCTGGTTTGCCTTCTTTAGGATGTTCTCTTCCACAGTCCATTCACTTATGAGCCTGCAAGAGGAAGGATTAACTCCATGACCTAATGTTTCTCCACAAGTCAATTGCCCATAACCTAAAAAAAAAGTAACTCCAGTCTTCAAATACTTTTTGGGGGTCTAGTTAAAAATGATGGCAATTTCATGGGCCTTTCATCCATAGCTCTGATATACGGACACATACTTCTGTCCCCTGGGCCACTTTCACAGAAACAATCAGTACTACTGATGGCAAAAAATGGACTTTGAAAACAACTAGCAGATCATTGACAGACTGGTAATGGCATATCAGTCATCAGAAAACCTATGCAGAAGGGTCATTCACTTGCCTGTAAATGTGGACATCTCGGGTTTGGCCGATACGATGGCAGCGATCCTGTGCCTGAGCATCCATAGTTGGATTCCAGTCAGAATCATAAAAGATAACAGTGTCAGCTCCAGTGAGATTCACACCGATTCCCCCAGATCGTGTGGACAGCAGGAAGCAGAAGATTCGATAATCTGCATTGAATCGCTCCATCAACACCTGTAAAGACAGAATGTTTCTTCTTAAGATGTGACTGCTGTAACAACAAGGGCTCTAAAAGTATGCTATAGAAACTCAACAATACCTAATCCATTCTGACAGACACTGTGTGCATCCCTCTAGAAAGGATACCTCATAAATTGATAACTCAAGGTAACCCTGCTGGTTCATGCACTCTCATATGATCTGGCACCAGTGCAAGAACCCAAAAGCCAAAAGAACCTAGGCTATGGGTCGATCAGAGGTGCAGCAAAGTAGAAGAAATCCTAAGACTAGGGCTGACCTGGCGATGCTCCACACGGGTAGTTCCATCAAGGCGGAGGTAGCGATATGCATGGTAGTTGAGGAACGCCTCCAGCACATCCAACATCTTGGTCATTTGAGTGAAGATGAGGGCTCTATGGCCCTCACTCTTCAACTGCCTCAAGAGCGTGTCCAGAACCTGTAATTTCCCTGCAGAGAAAATGAATATATTGAGGCATTAGTACAGCACAGGCATGATGTACTAACAAATCTGAGAACTAGACACTAACCACAATCATACTGAATGAGACGCAACTCGGGGAACTGCATTGTGCGACTGGAGAGGATTGGGTGAAGGAGTGTCAGAGATTCCTGCATATGCCTCTTCAAAACCTCAACCTCCCTCACTTGTCGACACAGGTCTGAAGGTGATGGATGAGATGCATGTAGGACTGGCATCTTGTACGAGTGCACAGGTGGGGTATATAGAGAAAACCTATCAATACAACAATATAATTTTGATGCACTTCTCCTCGTAAATGAAGTGAAAGGCTCAAAGAGACACACAGACTTGGATAGAAAAGGGGTGAATTTGGTGAATAGCTCATTGGGAGTGTGTAAAATGTTCCTCAGATGATGTGTGGACCTCCATAGCCAGGTGGAAGAGGAATCTGGTTCCAAGACAGTTGATCGACACTGAACCAAACCATTTCTGTATCCCTTCCCATCATCCAACAACTTCTCAATTGTCTTCACCAAATCCAATCCATACATTGGAGATGCATCACAGCGCCAAGAGTTTATTTGTCCCAGGCGGCACAACCTATCACAGCTTTCTTGTTTCAGTCGGGATTCAAGGGTAGAGAGGCGGAATCTTGTTCGTTCTGCCTCCTCTTCTAACTTCCTTTTGGTTTCTTCAAAAGACTCAGGTGGGGAACTTGAACGGCGGCGACGTCTCAGTATCTTCCTCCCAGTTGCCTGAAATAAAATCACCATCAGCATTAAAAGAAAAAAACGTTCATAAGAATATTACTGCAATGAAGGCTATAATGGAAGCATGTATCAGTGAACGTTATCAGAAGAGGAGATGACCATCTAACATCTGACTTGGAAGTCACTGAAAGAGAATTTTTCCTCTTTCCTTTCCTCAAGCAAGAGGTGTGCCTGGGGTTGCAAAGCACACTCAAAAAATGGGAAAGGCTCAGGGGGATCATGCTTCAAGATCCAAGTCACTTACATTGACTTGCGAGAGAGTCTCGGGGTCCAGCTGTGACAGGAGAACCACAGGTTTCTGCCCACCAGATATCCCTCCTAGTCCTGTTCCATTCATCTTCACTCCTGGATCAAGGATGAATAAGATGGTAAGATGCACAGGTCAACACAAAGGTTGAAACATAACCATCTCTGAAATGCAACAAAATAACAGACCTGAGGAAGGTGGAATAAGTGTGGGAGTTGACTGAAATGGAGTAGATGGTCTCAAAACCAGCTGCTGACCTATGGGGAAGAATATAACATTTTCAGAATGAAGCTGCTATGTCTCATAGGTAGAACCACAAAAAATCAAGTCACCAGGTTGCCAAATTAAGATGAAATACAATAAAACTCAGTAATAGAAAAATCATGTATAATTAAGCTCTTCTTATAGTAAAACAAACTCTATTCCTGATTCAAAGATGATAATAACTAGAGATGCAACGATATTTTATCGGTTATCAGTATTGGCTGATATTAGGTAAATCCGATATATCGGCCTAAAACGATATATGACCTGCCGATAACCGATATTGAAATTACACCTGAAGTATGCCAAACGCTAAGTATGTAAAGCGAATTATGAATATTCACACCTTTTTCCCATTAGACAACATTTCACTTGACTCGAACACATGTTCATGGGACGTTCCTCATGCATGAGTGTCAAAATCAAGTGAAAAAATGTCCAACTCAAGTGAAAACACTGCAGAAGGTTGAAAATGCCTAAATGACCCGTTTAAAAAAAAATAAGTATTAAGATGCCGAGAATATAAGCATTTTTCCCTTTTGCATTGGGATTCCCCTGGGATTCAACCTTCACTGCCGCGGTTCCTCAACGTCCCACATCTAGAGATAGGAGCGCTCTGTGCTTGAGTACCCCCTTCCCAAGCATGCTGGCGCTTCAACTAGGAAATATACACTTGACTTGGCTAGGTTCGAGCCCATGCCACCGTGTCACGGGACATAAGCTCATTACCCAGTCACCCTAGAGAGATGAGAAGTGTCATTTATTTAACTCGGTCTAATGCCATTACCATAGCCTACTCTGTACTTTCTGCGAAAATAGACATCGCTTATGTTAGCGCAAAGAACCCAGGCCTAGATGGATCCCAAAACCTTGGTACAAAAATCACTAGACTATAGTCTGATTTCAACTCTTTCGTGCCCAGAGGTTCCATTTGGAACCACCGATTTTAAAAAATGTTATCATCTTTATATTCATGTTAGGGCTGTGCCGATGGCCACATGTGACTGGTAGACTGATGGCACATTTTGAACTCGTACCCATTGACCGGTGCCGGAGCTGATGATGATTTATACTCTATAGATTGCGAAAGTAACATGAAATCGCATACGAATTCAAATAGGCCTATTTGGAAGCCTTATGATAATAATCAATGAGTCTCCTGAAAACGATAGAGACCACTTTTAGACCTTTCTAGCCTGTCTGTCTACGTCCGTCATGGTTACCTATTGCTGATATGAGGGCTTAACAGCACTACTCGCTAATGCACAGCATAAAAGGAGATGCAATTATTTCACAGTCTTTACGGCTATTTTCCTCCACCAGTTCCTATGATCGGGCTGAAATACAGTAAGATTTACGTCATGGATGCGTTCCCGGAAAACACGACATAAAACTAAACCTATTTTCCCACGGACTAAATTATATACAGGAAGTCCTCGATTTACAACGTCATATCGGAACGACGTAAATCGAGGACTCCTCGCATAATCTGATTGATACTTTTTTCTGGGAGAGGACGGCAGGGAAGGCTCTCAGCGAGACAGGTGGATCGGCAACAAACCGCACTCACACTCATGTATTTTTTTTTTTTTTGCATTTTGCCCTCTTTCAGGCTTCGGCATCGACAGCTTCCAACCTTACCGTAGCCATGGCGTCAATGGTGCAACACCAGAGGCGAATCTCTGTGGTTGTCAATACGACGGTGCAGCCTTAATTTATCAAAAATATTAATATTGTCATAATTTATATTTGAATATTTATAATATAATGCATTACATAAATATCTTTACAGATAAAAACTTCTGTAATATAATAAACATGACTGACTGCCTTAGAAATTTTCCTGAAAAGCATTTATGTTCGCATTTCCATGGAAAATTACCTGATGTATTAACAATTTGTCAGTCATGTCTGTCTGGGTGTCCATTAGAGGTATGAAGGAGGGAACTTTGACATTCTTGACATTTTCTGAACTGAGTGCTACTTTAAAAAAAAAAAAGAATTGCTATTCCATCTTATTGCAAGTTCTAGGATGGAACATAGGAAATAAAAGGCCTGATGCAAATCCAATGTAATATTTAAAAAATCCACATTGAGGAGCCTGGCTTCAGCATGAATAAATCATTTCTTCTCACTATTGGAGAAATGGCAAAAGCATGAGGTGCACCACTGGTGCACCTTAAGCTTTCCCCATCAGACCTGGTCCCAAATAAAACTTAAAAGTGAAGGGATAAATGCCTGAGGGTGGATTTTTGAACAGAGAACAATCTGATAATGCAGCTTTATTCTGGGGAAAATACATATTTCCTGGAAATATGTGTTTAGCAGCAAAATCAGATAGTTCACTGTTCAAAATCTACCCTGAATGTGCAAATATAAATGTATATATAGATATAGATATCAGTATCAGTATCAGTTCTTTTCCAATATCGGAATTATCAGTATATCGGATATCGGCCAAAATTCAATATTGTTGCATCTCTACTCTGAACCCTATTTGGATATGTTGCAGACCTTAATTCCTGAATTACGGCATAGAAACATGATAGGAAACATATTGTTTCAGCAAGATGGTGCAACATGCCACACTACCAGAAATGTTATGGAATTTTTTAGGCAACAGTTGTGGAAAGGATTATTTCTCGGTTTAGCTCTGTTTTATGGCCACCCTAATCCCCAGATCTGTCCACACCAGATTTTTTTCTCTGGGGATTAGTGAAGAGCAAAGTTTACAAGACACATCCCAGAAGTAGTGATGAACTTATAATCAGGATTAATGTTGCCATTGCTGCTAGTGGTGAAGACACACTGAGGACAGTAATAAACAATGTAGTGGTTCAATGCAGGAAATGCATCAATTGTGAAGGACAGCATTTAAAGACTCTGATTTTTAAGACATAGACCTGTGATAGTGTGACAATTTCCCATGTTTGTATTCAATACTTCACTTTGACATAATAACAACTTGTATTACTTTGTTCAGTCCTGATTGATTATGAAAATTAATGTGTCAGATATAAATGGCCCACCCTGTATCATTGGTCATACTGATCCCTTCAAAAGTCATTTTGCATAGCCCTAATTGCAAATTTTCTTGGTTTCACAGAATACATTATGTAGGGACACAGAGTGTACTTTGGCTGTGCCATGTTCATGTGGTTTATATGCAATAAATATGCAATTCATTGGCCCTACTTATAAAAAAGTGGGTCATGAAAATCCTAGTGCAGATTTTGACAAAGCCAAATGAGTGCAGAATCTCATTCATGTCAGTTGGGTTTGGTATGACAGAAAGCAGTGAACACACCAGTGAACAGCATCTCTGATGTGAGTCGAGAGCATCTCCTGGACAAATTTCACAAGCTTCACCGCCTCCTCAAGTGTGAAACAGTGGAGACCCAAGGTGGGAAGAGCATCTCTGCTTCCCGTCACCCACAGGGCCTCATGTTCTGCATTGAACATCTTGCTGCCAAGTTTGTGGTCAGTTTTCATATCAATATAAAATAATGGGAAATATGAGTGGGATACAATGTGATGTAGCTGTTTTTTATTTCTGAGTAGAGACAAGGTTGGGAGCAGGTGGGAAGTAAGCCTGAGGCTGCATTTCCTCTGGCAGCTGTCATTATTGCCCTATGGCACCATCATCCTCAACTGGGAGATCTTCTTCTGGCCAATTTCTATGAGCATTGTCCATATCTCCTTCCTTACTATGTTCCCAAATTGCAGGGACAGACTGATCAGGAATACTATGAGTGAGTTATGATGAAGGGATGACAAAAACTCCCCATAAGTGGGGTTTGGCCTCCTTCATAAAATTTGCTATTTTGTAATACATCATTTCTGTATTACTGCAAGGCAGGAAAGAGGGGTGCCTCTGTTGGCTTTGCAAAAAATGTAGCCTACAGAGTGGTGCAAAATTAGGTTGCCTCTAAGAGGGCAACTCCAAATATTGCCTAGACTCAGAACTCTTCACTTCCCTTGTTAATAGTGACAGTATTCATGACCTACAAGTACCACACTTTTTCAGAAGTGTGGTAGTTGTGGGCTTTTCACACTTACTACTATTTATAGTATTTTGATATTCCATGGTTGCAAAAAGAGAGATTGATAAGTGGGATGAGGAACACATTAGAAAGTTATACTTAGTTTAATAGAGCTACAGGAGCTCTATTTGTTGGTGTAATCATGTATTGTTAAATTACATAATTGAATTATTTTATATAAATACAAAAAAGCTCCAAAAGAAAGGTATTGACAGAAAGTACTTTTCTTTGAAGCAAAAATATATAGGGTAAATTGGAGGAATATAGTCTTGAAAAGTGAAACCCTCTTTTAATGCCCCATTAATTAAATTCATCAAGGTTAGGTTGACATGGTCATGACATTATTTCCATTGACAATCAGGATAAAAGTGAGTCTGGAATGGCCAGTGAAAATTCAGAGATAGCATACTTTAGGGTTAAACATGTTTTGAAATTCTAATTGAAGGTCATTTGCAGAAGGAAGCTTGACAAATTATGCCAAAATGGTGAATGAGTTGATAACAACTGAATAAATTGACTTGGGTCTCAAATCAATCTTAACTAAAAATAGCCTTTGCTGCAGGTACTAGACTTGAATAGTGCCACTTCTTAATGGCTACTACAAAATGAACAATAAAATAATGCATAGCCCAGATTGGATGCCTGGAGTAATGCAAGAAAGAAACATGATCTTCATGAGGTTATTTCATAGCCGTTCATAGAACAATGCTATTGGGGGGGGATGAAATCATCACCATTCATCACTCATTCATTTTTTTCTGAATCTGATTTTTGTCATCCTGATTCCAAGTTAGTAGACTCAGTAGTTCTACAGCTATGCCTGATTATGGATAGTCATTTAGAATATTATTTTCCCTAGGGCTCTGGGTTATCTGTATACAAATGGTCAAGTGGAGAAGCAAGACAAGTTCTTGAAGAGAATGGCTGGAATTACAAGACTTTATGCAGGGCTAATGGTCACTCCCTCCCAATCTGGGTTTCATCCTTTTGGTATCAACAATGCCTGGACATGGCTTGCTGAAATTCTCCAGCTTGGTAGGTCTTCCTCTCTCAACTTCTCATTTTCATGTTTTTGGGTTTGTTGTTCTTCCAGAAAGATTTGAGTTGATGTTTATTTATTTGGGTACATGTTTGTGAGCTCATCCTCCCAACTTTCATTGTTTTTTTTTTAAGGTTTTTCATGAATGAAATTCCTCACAATGTATTCTAGGTTTTCACAATATTTACTGAATAGAGATAATGTGAGGCCACTGGTCATATACTTCATGGATGTGGAAGTTTCTGCACTGACCATCACATTCTCTTTGGATGGCCTAATGGATGCTTTGATGCTTTAATTTGTCCATAAAATTGTATACTTATACATAATATGTCGGCCTTTTTTTCAAGAAGGAACATCATTGCAGTCAAAGAATTCTAGTGTATTACAATGCCATCCATAGACAAATGAGCTGTGTGCATGCACCAGTATGTCCTTACCATTTATTTATACAATACAGACAGCTAAGATTTTCTACTCTCTTTCAGGGCTGCTTACTGAGCTGATATGAAAAGATCATACGATCACATATCATATGATCTGAAATCACCTGCTGAAATCTGAAAGTAAATATGTTATGAATGAGCTGTCTGGTCCTCAACATGTATGTTATTGGCAGGCTTTTTTAATGGCTTGAGAAAATTCACAGATAACAAATGTCTTGATTTCTGTTAAGGTGATATTAGCTCATCAAATTCTGCATGCAGCCAAATTACAAGCTCCTGAGATTGATTCAGAATGAAAACTTTTGAAATGTGTATTTGATATTTTACTTGCAAAACCTTGCAAACTACCTGTTTCAGGGATATTTTGAATTCATCAGCATCATCCTACATGTTTGTGTCTTCCACTGCAAGATGCAAGACACTGCTTTACCCATCCTCAATCTGTTTTCCCCATGTTTTTAACCTATCCTGAAAGAAGATCTAGTGCTTGATTGTTTCCTGGACTCTAGTCACTGTATTATACTACAGTTGAGATATGTAATTTCCATTGCAGATCCCAGACCAGATATCACAGCAACAGTGCTCCATGAGTTCCTGTCAGTGGCTGGGAATGCCTTACAGATGACATATCAGCGCCAGTTCTTCAAGCTCATTCATGTTCTATGCACAGAATACCTGAAGCGGCTTGTTGAGGTCACACCCAAGGGTCAGGGTGGACCTGTAACTCGACTTGAACACTTCCTTCAACAGGCACTGCGCAGTCAACATTTTCCTCCTCCTGAAGGCATGCTTCCAGCATCCTTCCTCATCATTTGACCTGATTTTGTGATCAGTTGGATATAACTGAATGTATCATTGTTTTTGCCTTCCTTATTTCAGTTGTCAGTTTCTGAAAATTTTACCTGTTTAAAAAATTGAAGAATAAGGAATCTCTACACTCCTGGCTATAACTAAATTGGTCTTTCTTCTTCTGGTTTTATTCTTAAGCAAGATATTCAAAAAGTGCAATATTGTACAGCTTAGCCTGACCATAATCCTCATAGACCAATCAGGAGTAAATTTTTCCTGACTGAGATTGTGCCGTACCTTGCCCTATTTTAAATGACATTACTTTACAATGTGTTCTTATGTCTCTTTGCTGTAGCAGTCATCAGTTTGAGTTCACCAGTGTGTCAGTGAATTCAATGTAGAATTAGTGGTATAAGTCACATGCATGGAAACATCAGTTAACCTGACATCAACGATATGCACATTTCATTGACTTCCAATTCTGTGTTTTGTTCATCGCTAACTGTACCCAATTCTTCTAAGTGTATGAGGATTATGGAGGCTTATGGCCCTTAAATGCTATCGTTCAAATATTGAAATCCTGTAATTATTTTGATGCTGTATTTTATTACATAAGGAAAATATTCCAAGTTCACGGTGTCTCAATCTTTCTTATGCCTTTTATCATAATGAGCTTTTTGCTTTTCTTCATTTCTTCCCCTTCCTTGTTTCTCCTTCTGATGTAAGGTCAATGTTAATTACTATCCTCAGAAGTTTTTTTTACCTATGCTTCAATCAGAAATTTTCTTGAAAGACTCAGTCTTTGGGCTTTAATCCAAATATTTTTTTAATACTAGCAGAAATTACTTTTTATGTACAGTAGATAGCTAATTTGCGTAATTTGCACCCATTGTGGCATGGGCAGAATTTTTGGCATCAGCTTTTCCTTTTCTCCCTTCTCCCAAATTTTTGAGTGGGGAGTGGTCTGCTCATCAGTTATGTCCTACCTTGTCAGCTGAGTAGCTCTTCTGGGTGAGAGGAAGGGGGAGACCTCTGAACCACGATCGTTTTAGCCGCCTAAATGAAATTCTCAAGCTTTGCCTATAGCAAAACAATTTCTTTATAGAAAGAAATATTTAAAAATAATTTGGCGATGCTTTCTAAGTTATTTTAAATAGAAATACATCCTGAAGGGGGATATTAAAAACAGATAGAAATAGAAAACATGATTTTTTAGTTAACAAATGATTGTTATCTTGTCGACTATTTTTGTGGTCATCTCCACTTAAAATCGATCGTTCTGAATGTTCGTTGTGGCAGTAGCTGCAAAGGATTTATCATCTGTGAATCATATGAAAGGCAGTTGAAAATCGGCGCAAAAGACTATTAAGTCTCTGCAATCGTGCTCGTCTGTTGACCACAGTCAAGTGCTAACCGGCGTACTTCTTAATGCTCTAGAGGCGTAAATCATGATAATTAATATCCACTTGGAAGTTTAGTTGAAGTAAAGTGCCTGTGGAATTTCTCGCAGGGAGCAAGGGGTTCTTGAATGGTTGTCCTGGCTTTGGATAAGGCCTGCGACAGCATCGATGTTGTCTGTTTCGACACGACGGTAGTGAACTAACTTCTAGTTAACTATTCTTAGTTGCATGGATTTTTCCAATGAACTAGTCCGGCCCTCTGCGTGTCCAGCCCTTCAAAAGAAATTCGAACTCCATCCTCGTAGCTGCGTTGAGATATTGGTAAATGCACGCTAACTTTTTTTTTTAAGGCGTAGGTGTCGACAATACTCTCGCCCGGGCGCACACGCATCTTACAGGAACAGGAGGGAAAAGATAAGAGACTTTGAGATCTGCTTTGAGATAGGCGAGAACAAGCGTATTTCCTGCTAAGCCAGGGATGTCACTCGAAAGCTGGGGATCGGAAGGAACCCTTCAGGCGTGGTTGGGGGCCACATTAAAACAAAAAAGTCGTTCACCAAATACTTAATGCGAGCAGGTTGAAAATTTCAGCGCTTTTCCAAAACTAATTGTTGAAGAGGACTTCGCGGGCCGAAGAGAATGAACAAGCAGGCCGGACTGGGCCGCTGACCGCTCGTTTAATACCCCGGTGCTAACCGGTGGTCGTGCGATAAATAGTTATATTCTTATTCAGGCGTTTTCGAACGCATTTCTCATACCACTAATGCAAAAATAGACAATTTTGTGCCCTATCCAGTCATGTTTTTAAACAGTGAGTTCGTTTATTTCCAATGTTCTTCCTGCTGCATTGATTTTTCACTGGCTTTCTTCTTTTGGCTCGCCATATACAGGATATTTACCAAATGTCCGGAAAACATTTTACATGTTGGAATTAGTCTCAAAAATACTCGCACAGACACAACCCGTTCGCTGAGGCGAAGTCGTAAGCAAATTACGCACCGATGTCTCGATCGTTGACTAGAATCAACAGACTAGTGTTACGATTCGTTGTCGACATTGACAGCTTTATATCGCCAGTCAGGATGACATGGCCATTGTCAAGTCGATGGCCATGAAGTGTGAAAAAAAAACTGGCAAGAGTTTTGGAGGACATTGACAGGAGTCTTCCTTAAGGTTCATAGAGAAAACGTGCTTCTCGCATGGCGTGCAAGAAAAGTAGGGTTTCCAACAATCGGTTGGGGACGAATTTTAACCCTTTCGTGCATGGTGTCCACTGTAGTGGACGGCAAAATTTTTGGCGATAATTATGAGTTTTCAGTCATTGTACTCATACCTTGAAACTTTTGGTGCGTGCAGTCAACTCAAAGGCACATAATCTGTTCAGTGTTGCTTTCTAGCAGTAGAACATTCGACTACTACGGCAGAGTACCTTCTTAAACGTTAAACCATAAATGGCATATTTTTGTTTTGCTTTAAAAATTCATTCACGAAAGGGTTAACCCTTATACTGCCAGAGTCGATTACAGCGACGCAATAAATATCGTTTCAAAATGCCAGAGTCGAAGAGCTGGCCCTAAAATGTCCAAAGTTCGAGAAGGAACACGATCGAACGCTCGGACTTGAAACATTTCTTAACCCTTTAATCGTCAGCTCTTCGACACTGGACTTTTTCAATGAAATTCGTAGCGTCGCTCTAATCGGCTCTGGCACTACAGGGTATAAGGGTTAATAATTATTCCTCGCCGAAAAACCGAACCAGACTGAAGATAATTTTTGGCAAACCATGGCACAAATCATGACATGAGTAGGTGCTTTGCAAAGATAACAGATTAAGCTGTCCGAGAATTGAAAAAATCTTCGCAGATGATGCTATAGGTGGTGAGAATTTCGATCACGAAAAAGTGTTGCAAGACTTTTGACGGGCAGTATTATAATAAAGGGAGGGAAATAGTCCTATCATGAAGCAGCAGTAGCAAGTATATATTGTGCTTGAGGTCGTGAAGGGAAAGAGAAACGAAGGCTAACTTTTAGGGGCCATTAGGAGTCCTCAGGGTGTCCCACTGGCGGCAAAATGAATTAACGATAAGTCGCGCTGGCATAGGACGCGCTTTTATCCTTCGGCTTCCTCAGCCGAGATCTGACAGTTTGAAGAGAATCTCGCCGGACATGGTGGCAGCGTGCTTCGACGCGTCGCCATATATTTCTGCTGCAACGACATCGAGAGCACAGGGGACGGAGCCTTTTCTCCCTTCTACCGTCGAGAGCAGTACTAGTTGGTGAAGTTCCACGGTCTTGTCTGACGAATCCATATCGCTATGGAAACCGTCGCTCTCGTGAGAAGGGAACCCGAAGAGCATCACTCGGTCGGCCGTTCGAGACACTCCCGATCTTATGAATCTCAGAGGATCGTACTCCTGGTCTCGTCCCAGGCAGATTAGGATGCGTCCGGACTCGTGCGGAACTTAATTGGGATGTTCGGGCTGAGCCTGGGCATCCCCTTTCCAACCACCAGGAGAGGTCCTGTCTGTGGACGAAGCCTGACTTCGGCCTGGGTCAGCGCCGAGGGCAAGCGAGCTCGAAAAACCAAGGACTAAGATGGGGAAAGTAGATTAAAGGGGATGGAAAAGCAAGTGGTGACGACATTTGATCAGACGGAATAATACGAAGCCAAAAGTACCTAACGAATATAAACCATCAATTTCCGTCTTTCTTTAGGTAGTTCACGGCCTCCCCTTCCTTTTTACTCTTGCCTGGAATCGTATCTGGAATTTAATGAAAATTCCTTCAGACTTCAGTAATCGAAGTCAAGGCACTGAAACGAAATTCGCTTCCTTGCATATGGGTCTAGGAGTAAATGCTTTCGCCTTCCCGATTCACGAATGAATCGTTTTGCAGGCAATCCGCTGATCTATGGATGGGACGTAGCTTTCTTGATTCAGGGAGACGAATTTCGCAACCAAGTCCTAGGAAACAGCGATGTTGGGGCTCCACCGGAGGCAAAGATGTTCCCAATATATTTCGACGCTAATATCAGGTTTCGAAATTGGTGTCAGATCAGTTTCCTGTTTAGGTTTTCCACTTTCCAATCAAGTTGTTTATGTCTGCTGAAGTTGACGGCACGACAACGTCATAAAGGAGATTGGCAGAATACGAGGCAATAGAGCTGCCATCTAACGAGGGTGGTCTCAACTGCTGGGTTATAAAGGGGGAAATCCGGCAACCCTAGTTCGCAGTCGGAGCTTGGCATGGGTGGAAGCGTGCCTGTGGTCACGGACTCCTCTTTCTTACCTCGTTTCTTCGCGTTGGTGGAATACAAAACTACCTGAGCGGCTAGAATGGACGGGAAAGCGGACGTGGAAGAGCCCAAGTCTTCGACGAGCTCCAGGGCCCCTTTGGAGGGAAAGAGAGTCTCCTTGGTAGGCCTATGTCCTTTGTCCCATTACACATGTACATTTATACGATCGTATGCATTAATACCCAGGAACGCTTATCGATGGTTTATGTAGTTCGATTACAGAGGAGAACCTTAATGGGATGATAATATTCCAGCAATCAGTTGTTTCAGAATGTCATCGAAAATCGTGATTTCAAAGGGGCAGGTGTTTACTTAGCCTAGGTTGACATGCTGAATTAGCGGAATTCCAGAATAGGCCTGGCAGTTTTTCGCATCGCAGTTATTTGCGAAAATTCTGGGCATTTTGTGGTAGGGTTGAATGAGTTGAACTCATCGGTTCTTGTTTCCCTTCCCTCCAAGTA